GTAAAGAAAATTTTGACATTTACAGACAGTGAAATATCCACCCATAGCCTACCGAGACAAGCAAGGGGTCCTTCACAGAAAAGTACACGCGTTGGCCAAACTCAAACTGAAGCCATCCAGAAAACTTCTCTTGGGAATCATTCTCCACAGTCAAACAGTTACCAAGGAGCTGGCAGACATCAGGATAGAGTGAAGACAGGCCCTGCCTGGTGGCTTTATTGAGGAGAGCTATCTACACTCTGAGCCCTGGAGAAGTCCCCTCAGCAGGGAAACTTCATTGCCCAGGTGACAGGGTTTCTCTGGCTCCATTTGCTTCGTGTCTGTCTCTAGTCCTGTCTTCCGTACAAGCTCACACATGGGCCAGTTCCTTTTCCTTCATAAGCCTCCCCACATCACCATCTAGTTTCACCCTCCGATCCCTTTCAACCTGGTATCTTTTTTGACCTTTGTCTTTTTTGTTTTGTTTTGTTTTTTTAATCTCCTTCCTCATTACATTTGTCTAATTTGATAGAAAAATCCCAGAATCATTTAGGCTTTCCTAGCCTGCCCTGACCTTTCGGAAGCCTAACCCCGAACATCGTGGTGATGTGAGTATAGCTACCCAGTATTCTGATTTGCTCACCTGCTTAACACATTAACTCCATCCAGTCCCACCTGGAAGATGAATTACAGGTCCCCCAACCATGTTGAACCCATGAAGCCGTGAAGACCTCAGAGTTCAACTCAGCAAATCCGTAGACACGGGGCTGTTGAGAGAGTGTGCTTGCCACAACCCACCAGATATGGTACCAACCCGGGCATTTACATTTTCTTTGAGCTTGTCCAGCCTGTGTGTGGAAGATCATTCAGGTGACGTGACACAGTAAATTTAGTGTGAGCATCTTTCAAATAAATGATGCTGTTCGGAATATCCTGGGCTGTAATACCATTCCAACATTTAAGCTTATGCTATTTTATTATCTTCAGAAAACAAGTTGCTTTCATTGCACGTGCTAGAGAAAAGCCACCATGTTCACCAAATGAGTAGACTTCCAGCAAATCCCTGCGAATAGCCCATCAACAGGTAGACAGAACTCTTACACTGCTCAGCCCTAGTGCCTGCCACCCTCCGCGTTCTTGCTTGGGTCCGACTGCCGGGAACTCTTTGCACTTTTTCCTGTAGATTTGTAGTTAAGGGAACACCGGGGGTCATCGGGGCCAAAGTGGTGTTTTCACTCAAAGTAGCAGCTACTGTTTGCCTGGCTTTTGACCAAGGGATGGAACAAAAATCTGCGCAGAAGGTAGTTGATGAAGAGTGAGACGTTTGAGGGCAACAGCGAGGGATGGAGGAAGGCCCCAGGGTTCCTGTTGAAGCCATACAGTGTTATATGAAGTTCCTCCCTAGGGTGTGCTGACGAGCAAGGAAGTCACTCCCCCTAGCCTCCATTCCTAGGATGTAATTTTGAGGATTCCTTTATGGTTCTGCACAACTCTTGTCTTATCACAATGCTCCTGTGGTCTGCTGCTTTAGGAATATCTAGATTGCACAAATTAACCTTTTATATATTGAAAGAGTTTTCTACATGTATTGGATTGCTCAGAGTAAAGTATAGATTAGACATGTTTTAGTAGACAAATTCTGCCTAAGGAGTATGGATTAAAAGTATGAAGATATGTAAAACACAATATATCTATAAACCCTTGCTGTGTAACTCAGAAATAAAAATAGATTCCACATGTTGTGGTTTCCTTCTTCAACTTAGTGAAACTCTCTGTGGCCTCCCTTAGCAGGAACATGATATACTTGGCACTTGCCACCGGCAAACTGTATATACTTTGGTTTTCCTGGCCATCTAAACTGTATTATTCTCTTTCTAGTATCACCTTTCATGTCTTGGAGTTCTTTGCACTGTACTTTCAAAGTGTATCATTTACTCCTTGGTTAAATAACTTCTTATTTTGGGAGTGTCCCCGTATTTCATGGTTACTTTATTTTGCCTTTCTCTGTCACTTACCTTTTCATAACATTTATTTTTAAATTCAAGTGTACTTAGGGCTTGGGGTGTAGTTCAGTGGTAAACCATGTACTTGAAATGAGCAAGGTTCTCTATTTGATCTCTCCAGCAACACACACACACACACACACACACACACACACACACACACACACACACACACACACAGGAGCATGCATGCATGGGTGCACAAATAGGCATTTGTCATTTTAGTCTCTGCCCTTTCCTGGCCCCCCCCCCCCTTTCTGGAGTTTTGTTTGATGAACTTTCATAGCTTTTAGGCAAAACCAGAGTTAGAAACCATGACTATACTTTTTAAAAATTATTTTTATTTTACATGAACTGGTGTTTTGCCTGCATGTATGTCTGTGGGGGTATCAGATCTTGGAGTTGCAGACAGTTGTGAGCTGTCATGTGGATGCTGGGAATTGAACCCGGGTCCTCTGGAAGAGCAATCAGTGCCCTTAACCTCTGAGCCATCTCTCCAGCCCCACTACTACACTTTTTTTAAACTAAATAAATAGTTGTGGGGGGCTAGGGGTGTGGCTCAGGTGGTAGAGTGCTCACCTAGCATGTACAAAGCCCTAAATTCAATCCCCAGCACCACATGTACCCAGCCCAGAATCACGCTCTTGTAGTCACAACACTCGGAATCAGTAATTACATTAACAAAAAGTGAGGGATTTGTGTTCTCCACACGAGTTCTGGTGGATATTAGAATCAAGGAGGGGAAGAAGCAAAGAGAAGGCTGAAATAGTCACAGATGAAAGAATGCTAGACTGGTCGGGCAGTCGTGGCCCACGCCTTTAATCCCAGCACTCGGGAGGCAGAGCCAGGTGGATCTCTGTGAGTTTGAGGCCAGCCTGGTCTACAGAGTGAGTTCCAGGACAGGCTCCAGAGCTATACAGAGAAACTCTGTCTGGAAAAACTGAAAAAAAAAAAAAAAAGGATGCCAGACTGTGCCAAAGGTGGTGGCAACTGGGGGGAGACTGGGGGGAGACTGGGTGGAATGAGGTGGGTGCATACTGTTTCACGTGGCTCAGCTGTGAAGAGCAACAAGCTACACATTCAGGGGAGCACTTAAATCACAGGGCAGAGGTAGAAAAGTTAAAAAAAAAAATTCCCCAAATACACACATGCTAAACAAAGACAGACATTATGCAGCCCCACGTGTTTTCAAGGACCTAGCCCACTCTTTGGAGTGAATGCAGGGTGTGAGATGAGGGGTGGACTGGGGAGCCTAATTAATAATTCACATCAAAGCGTGTCTTATGGAGTGAATCAGCCTTCAGCCGTGGAAGCCGTGCCTTTCAGGGGAGGTCATGGAAAAGCTGTGCTTAGGCAGTCTGGGTCTCCAAAGGGCTGGTCCCTTTGCTCTCTCTCCTGTATTCTTTCACTGCATTGGCTGTCCGTGTGCATGCAGCCTTGCCAGGAGCTGCCCCATTTCATCCTAGACAGTCATGGAGTTTTTAACTCATCTGATGACTTTCGAAGTATTCATCCACACACAGCTTCGGGCATCACAGAGTGCAAGATGCTTTGGGGGGGGGGGCTAATTTTCCTAGATAGTTTCATTCACATTTGCCCAAAATTACCTTCTTTAAAGATTGTTTGTTTGTTTTTTAATGAGCATGCATTTGCCTGTGGTGTGTGTGTGTGTGCGCGCGCGCGCGCGCGTGCGTGCGTGCGTGCGTGCGTGTGTGCCTGCCTGCCTGCCTATGTGTGTACTATGTGCATGCAGTGACTAAGTCCAGAAAGCTCTTGGAACTAGAGTTACAGGTGAGTGTGAGCCAACCAACATGGGTGCTGGAAATCACACTTGGGTCATTTGCAAGAGCAGTAAGTGCTCTAAACAACTGAACCATCTTTCCAGCCCCTAAAATAACCTTCTCAACCAGGAAACTTTTTTCTTTTAATATATGACTACTTTGACATAAATAACTGCTCTCCATTTCTGCAGTCTCATCCCGAATGAGGAACAGACAGCCCTGGACACTTGACCTTGATTTCCTTTTGAAACTCTCCCCTCTTAAGTGAGGGAGATGAATTATCCAGTTGTCCGTCAGGTTTGTTAGCCACTGCCGTTAACACATTGTGGTTGATTCTCATTGTCCGTGATGGTTCTGTCCTATGAAATCAGCACAGCATGAATCAGTGCACACCAATCCGTTGCATGGGGAAGAGGCACAGGGCTGGGTTAGTAGGAACCTCTGGTTATAGCATTTCCATCAACCGACCAGCACAGTAGCTTACTTGTGTTCTCTCTCTCTCTCTCTCTCTCTCTCTCTCTCTCTCTGTTTTAAAACACCTATTTGATATGTTTTTACTTTATTAACATTGAGTTCGTAGCCAACGGCTTGAATATATCCCAGCCAAAGCGGAGCTTCTTTGCATGTGTAATCACTCCAGAAGATAAGTCCTAGGGCTGGAGGTGTAGCCCTGTAAGGCACGTGCTTAGCACACACAAGACCCTGGATCTGTTTCTCACCATCAAGCAACACAACAACAAAAGAAGACACATTGCAGCCCTTGTGCACTTAAAAATATTAAGCAGTACTTCATCTCTACACTTGGGAGTCCTCTTCAATTGTGAAATCAACAAAAAAGAACAGAAGGAAAACCATAGGAAAGGACACTTGTTTATAGCAGGCAAGCTGAAGCAAAGACATAGCCCCACCTGCTCGACCTCAGCCAGAGTTCCTGTCTCCGGCTTTGCAAGTGTGCCTCCACTCTGCACATGTTCATAAATGGCCATGAAAGTGCCCTAAGTATTGATTTGAGGATATAAATAAATTTCAGCAAATGAATTTACAACAGTAGAGTCCTTGAATATTGACAATATAATCTTTCCAATGACCCCAGCACCTTGAAGCAACACATACTGATTTCAGTTTCTGGGGGCCAGAAAGTTCGCTTCTCTCACAGGTACAAACTAGGTGTTGGCCTGCGGTGTCTATCAAGTCTCCATCAAGGTTTCACTGGGGCAGAATCCGGTCCCAAGCTTACCTGCCTGGCTTGGAGCAGGATTCACTTTATTGATGGTTGGTGGACTGAGGACCCCATTCACACTGCCTGTAAGTGGAAGCCCTCAGATCTTTGCCTTGTGGATCTGTTTAACATGGAAAACTTGTTGAGGGGGGGAGACTAGCAAGATGGAAGGTGCATTTTTTTTGTGATGTCACAAAAGTGATAGTTCCTAAGTTGTTCTATTCTTTTACAACAGGCAAGTCAATAGACCCACACAAGGTATACAGACCAGGAAGTGGAGATCGTTAAAACCACCCTGGAAGTCTTTTGTCACACCCGCAAGCCCTCTGCAAAATCCCTGGACTCCTGCTTCCTCTAGCTTGTTAGTGAAGGTGTTTGCCCATGTTTTCCTCCTCTGCTTTTTCTTCTGTTCCCCCAAGAATTCAACAGACACGTTCTTCAGATTATTCGCATCCGGTGTCAATGGCCATGGCAAACCATCATTTTCCCTCTCAGTCCCTGTGCCCTTCCCAGTGTCTGGGGGCAAAGGTGAAGCTGGCTTCCCTAAGCTTGAAGAGACCATTTCTCTGCCCTCTCACTGTCTTTCCGATCAGCCATACTGGGATTTCAATCTTGGTTCTACTTACTAGCTTGTATTACTTTAAACAAGTTCCTTGACCTCTGTGAGCCTCCCTTTGTCCATTTTTTTAAAAAATGTGGATCAAAGTTTCATCCTCTATATTTATATACTGGTTAAATTGTAATTTAATGTCCAACTTAGGGCTTAATACAGATAAAGCATTACAAAAAAAAATCTATGGCTTCTCTCCTCCCCTCCCCCTCCACACTGCTCTAGCCTTTGTCTGTTAGTGAGCTCATCTCCAAGGCTACTGCTAGCCCTAGCCTCATCTTTGGTTTCTGCCAACCATGCCTGCATCTCATTTCCTTCTTGACTCTTCTTCCAAACAAACAAGTTTCTTTGCCCCTGATAGCCCTTGTAGTGGTGAGTCTAATATCAACTTGATGTAAGCTAGAGTCACTTGAGAAGAGGGAACTCCATTTGAGAAAAAGCTCCTCTGGACTGGTCTGTGGGCAAGTTTGTGGTGCATTTTCTGAACTGATCATTGCTGATCCTGGGTGGTGCTGCCCCTGGGCTGGTGGTCCTGAGGATATAAGAAAGCAGGTTGAGCAAGGCGTGATGAGCAAGCCAGAAGGCAGCACCCCTCCCATGACTTCTGTTTCAGTTCCTGCATCCAGGTTCCTGCCTTGGGTTTCTGTCATTGCTTCCTGGATGAACTGTGATGTGGAAGTGAAAGGAAAACAAACCCTTCCCTCCCAGTATTACTTTTGGTCGGGGTGTCTCATCACAGCAATAGAAAGCTCGCTAGGCCAGCCGTACTACTCCAGCCCCTGCCACACTCCTTCGAAACTCTCACTTCTGCCATCTGCTTCTTGGTTTTAGGCTTTATTTTGTTTCAGATTTATTTTTATTATTTTTGTATGAAGGTGGCTGCGTTTGCATGTGGGTGTGAATCCAGGTGCCCCGAGAAGCCAGAGGTTCATGTCAGATCCCCAGGAGCTAGAGTCACAGATAGCTGTCAGCCACCTAATGTGGATGCTGGGAATCACTCCAGTCCTCCAGAAAAGTAGCAAGTGCTTTCAACTGCTAAGCCATTTCTCTAGCCCTTGGTTTTTATTTTTGTTTAGTGATTATCTCAAGCATTGCAAGAACAGGGATGGAGCTATAACCAGGACATGTGACATTCCAGAGGCAGAAGTTCAATGCCTTGCAGTAGAGGATAAAGAGGAAGAAGGGAGAGGCAAGGAAGGAAAGGGAAGAAGACATTTAGGAGTGGGTTGTCTACAGAGTTCCTCACCATCAGCCAGTATCCAGTGTATCCTACCCACAAAGACATCTCATCAGGAAGCTATCATTGCAGCATGCTGCCGTTCAATCCCTGTCTTCTTCAAGTGTCACCCATTGTCTCAGTGAATGTCCTTTGTAGAGAAGGATGTGATCCAGACCACATTTATACTTAGTCTTTGTGCCTCTTTAGTCTCCTTCAACGTGGCATGATTCTTCGGCTTTCCATGACTTCTGCAGCCCTGGCATTTGTGAACGTTACAGTTGTTCCATTTGGTGTCCCTCAACTTGGCTGTAGCTGTTGGATTCAGGTTACTCATCTTTGGCAACAGTACATCAGAACTGACTTAGGACTTTCCAACTGCACCCTACAGATGCTCATTTGAATACTTGATTACAAAGTGTTGTAAGGCTTTCCTACTGGGAAAAAAACTGCTTTTCTGCCCCTTGTAATTAATGATTTTGTTGTGGTAGAGATCTGGGTATGCATAGATAGCCTGTTGCCCATCAGACTTTTAATTTACTAATATAGTTCTGTTGGCATGAACTTACAAAATCTTACTTTATTCAATAGGCTCTCTGTAAGTGGGATTATTTATTTTGGTCCTCAAATTGTTCCCTGTAATCAGGCTGTTTCAGTCTGGCTTCTGTGTGCCTTGATAAGTCCTCATCAGTCTTGGAATAATTCTCTACTTTGGCATAAGATATTTCCAAATGTGACTGTAATTATCCACAGCCCAGCCTGGGAATTCCTCAACTTCTTTCCAGAGCCCTGGTTGAATGTGCTCTTTGTTACACAGAAAATCAGGGTTTTTAGTTACATTGAGCTAGAGAACACACACACACACACACACACACACACACACACACACACACACGCACACACATCTTTATGTCTGTCTCTACAAGTATTGAAGCCCATGAGTTCTCACTGATATTTTCCATCCTGAAGCACCTCAGCCCCATCTCATGGATGGTCTCCCAGCCAGTTGGACCTTTGATACCAGACAGGAACATACTTTCATCTAGGAAGCCTGAATATGACTGATACAAATGTCCCAGGCAAATAAATAAAATAAGCAGTGTAGTCCCAGGCACTCTGCACAAAGGAATGCTTCTCAACAGCCTGGTCTTTCGCAATATTGCATACAGCATAGCGCCCATCCCACTGGTCTCTAGCGTGTTGTTGGTGTTTGACTGAGCAGCCCTACCCATCCTGTTGCTTAGTGTCTAAATCTGCAGGCTCCAAACTGAAGCTGTAAACCTGCCCTCTTCATCCCTCGACTTCCCCACAGCCAAAAGCAAAGCCTTCATATTAATTAATGTGTGGCCAATATAATAGTTAAGGCATTAGTATTCTGGAAACATTCCAAACCATATGTATTAGAACTCATGGCTTCTCCAGCAGGAATCTTCTTGAGTGCTCACTACCTGATCTTCATGTTCATTCACAGCACTTATCCAACTAATCAATGTTTGTTAGACATATTTTAAGTTCAAGTCACAGTATTTGTGACACAGACCCAGGAAATGGTCTCTTTGGCTGGAGTAATCTTGTAGTAATCTATGTATGAGGTAGGAGATGTCAGACTCCCCAAAACTAGAAGTCATGCAGAGTAAACTATGTATGCATCAGGGATACCAGACCTATGGGCTAGAAAGATGACTCGAGGTTTAAGAGCAATGTTTGCTTTTCCAGAGGACCCAGGTTTGGTTCCCAGCACCTCCATGGTGGCTCACAACCATCTATAATTCCGGTCTCATTGGACCCGATGCCCTCTTCAGGACTCTGCAGGTACTGCATGCATGTAGTACACAGGCAAACATACAGGCAAACACACATACACATAAAATAAAAATAAAGGTGAGACGGGATCAGGCCCAGGGGTCCATGATCATAGGGATCATGGACAGGAGGTGTGTCATCAAGTTAGGAAGTCATAGTAAATGTCCAAAAAAGGGTCATGTATTTAGTCAGTACCCTTGAGAAAGCAAGTCATAGAAACCTGACCAAAAGTTAAGTTGAGTCAAATCAAACTTCTCATTCCAATAAAAGCCCATGACCAAGACTTAGATTCTCTCTGCTGTCAGTTTGACTCACTTCTGTGGATGGCTTTACTCTGAATTGTTGTCCCCTATGATGGTCAATACAACCCTACAATGCTCAGGCTTTGGAGCTCATCTGTTTGGAAACTTACTGAAGAAAGTTGCCTCCCACCCAGTAGCCCCAGCAAGGACACTGGACCTCCTGCCATTGGAGCAACATAATACACTTAGAGTCATAAATAGCTTTACAGCTAGTAAAACCTAGCAGAGAAATGATTCCCTCTCCATTATAAGAGGTAATTGCACGTTTCACATTCAAAATTATTTTCTCACCTAAGAGTGATTTTCAAAAATGCATTCTAGGGCTGTTGAGGTGGCTCAGTTGGTAAAGGCACTTGCTACTGAGCCTAGACATCTGAGTTTGATTCCAAGGACCCATGTTGTAGGAGAGAACCAATTGCTCCAAGTTGTTCTCTGTCCCACCCCACCCCCGCCACCACACACTGCACCGTGGCATACACACACCCCCACACACATATCCAAAATAACAAGTAAGTATACGATAAGTATGTATATAACTTCTTAAATAATAAAATCTATACTGGCTATCCAGAATTTTTTATAAACATAATAAACACATTTTAATAGTGTTGGTTGGTTCTTTGTCACCATTGGCAGTGACTCATGATACATGTTTAATTGAAAATCTATAAAGGTAGAAAGAAGACAAAAGAGCACTGTTGTCTCCTAGTGTCGTCACTTGAACTTGCAGCTGGAAGGTGACATTCCTGTGATGTCCTCAGTATCAGAGCTGGGCAGTGAGACCACCAAGGCCAGAACCAAGCCAGGGCCCCTGCCCAGTCAGTGTCTCCAATCTGCTGTTGTAACCCATTTTCTCAGCATAAAAATAAAACAGACTTGTATTCTTTTATTCTTAGAGAAAAGACATGTGCTTTTTACAACTAAATACATCAAAACATGATGCCAGAAAAGAGAGTAAAAGCCATGCCGCTCACCCTTCAGCTTAGGGAAAACCTTTCTGGATGAATTCCTCTGAAACACACATATACTTGTCTATCGCTACCTAGAGAGAGACAGTAAGGACATCTTGTGTTCTGAACATCTTTTCCAGTGCAGAAATCTTTCAGATAATTTCCTAGAAGCACACAGAAGCTTATCGTAAGCTGTGTGGGTGGGAAGCAGATTCACAGCCATGAGCCCTTGTTAATCAGTGTTCTTTGAAGGGGTGGTGAAGGGCCTGTGCTAGCTCAAAATA